TCCTGCCACCTTGCTGAAGATGTTTATGGTGTCTAGGAGTTTTTGGGTAGAGTTTTTTGGGTCTTTAAGGTATAGGATCATATCGTCTGCAAATAGGGATATTTTGACAGTTTCTTTACCTGTTTGTATTCCTTTTAGTTCTTCTTCTTGCCTAATTGCTCTGGCTAGAAATTCCAGTACTATGTCAAATAGGAGTGGGGATAGTGGGTACCCTTGTCTCATTCCCAATCTTAGGGAAATGGCTTAAGTTTTTCTCCATTAAGTATGATGTTGGCTGTAGGTTTGTCATATATAGCCTTTACAATGTTGAGGTACATTCCTTCTATCCCTAGTTTTCTTAGACCTGCTATCATGAAGTGGTGTTGGATCTTGTCGAAGGCTTTTTCTGCATCTATTAAGATAATCAAGTGTTTTTTGTCTTTGCTTCTATTGATGTACTGTATTACATTTATAGACTTGGGTATGTTGAACCAGGGGATCAGGAACCAAGGTAAAGATCAGTTAGAGTTGAATCAACATGGGTCGTAACACATGGGTACACGAAAGCAATAGTAGGAATTTCTCTGTATAGCTATCCTTAACTCAACTAGCAAAAACGCTTTGTCTTTCTTATTATACTTATGTCTTTTCTTCAACAAAATTAGAGATAAGGGCAGAACAGGACCTTCCTGGAACTGAGGGGGGGAGGGGGGGAAGGATTGGGAAAGAGGACAGGGGGGAGAAATGACCCAAACAATGTATGCACATGTGAATAAATGAACGACAACAACAACAAAAAATATCGTATGCACGTGTAGAAATGTCACAATAAAACCCATTATTTTGTATTTTAAAAAAGGAAAAGAAATAGGAAAAGACCAAGAAAGAGAATATAATATCCAAGAAAGAGGAGGAAAAAAAAAACACAATGGAGCCAGTTGCTGATGCGCCATAAAGGTCTTGAGTGAGAAGAATCTAGAAAGAGAGAATATATTTTGGCAGAAATTTTGAGGTGGAGAGAATTTAAGGATCTTTAAAGAAAGGCCCCAATTTTTATTCTTCTTCCCCCCAACACAATCTTACACTGAACAAAGAGTGTGGTACGTCAGCAAGATCCAATTCTGTAGCCAAATTTCACCTACTTTGCATAAGCAGAATTAGATTGATTAGATGTTATAAAATATATCCAGAATTAGAAAAGAATTAAAACCCCTATTTGATACAATTTAATTTCTTCACCAGTATATTAACAAGCTAAACTACCATGGTAAAGCTCCCAAATATTAAAGAAAAACGTTTATTTCTCCTTTAACTTTATAGTCTGAGGTGAGTCCTCTTTGTCCACAAACTATTTTAGGGGCTCAGGGTGACAACAGTTCCTTCATCTCTAACACATGGCTTTCAAAGTTGTCCTGGGTATCACCTGTGGCCCAGGGCCCCACCATTTCCTCCGAACACCTCCCTGGTGCTCACGTTCCTTTGATGTGCCTTACAGACAGACTTCATGGCTAAGGATTTAAGACTCCAGTCCCTTTCTGGGCCATCACATGCCAGCTACAGTTCCATTTGTAAGGAAAAAGAGGAGAACAGATGTTGGTGGCAAACAAAAATCTTTGCCACAAGCATCTTTAAAAAGAAATGCTTAATTGTGGCATGTGCTCTAGAACACAGTCTCCTAAATTAGATTACAGAAATGGCTTTGCGCTTGAAGAACTCCCTCCAAGAAATGCCAGAGAAGAGATTTAAATGACAAGTCTATTTCTACTGGCTGAACAGTAGATAACTTTCCCCTCCTTGGAAGAACAGATAAAAGCCTAATAGATCATAGATGCTTATTAATTATTTACATAAGTAACACTTACATCCCTCACTTACATGATCTGAATCTTGCCTGGGTGCAATTAATTAGAAATGAGATCAAAGCTACATACTTCTTTTGATGTCCTATTTATGTAACTTATTTCTGTCAGAAGAAAATAATCATAATGTCATGTGCCATATGAATATGAGTTCTTTCAAACATTGTTGTTTTGAATTTCTTAGCTTTTTCTCACAAAGGATATGTTCTGTGATGTGACATCTCGTCTGTTTTCAGTGCATCCTTTTCTATACACACACTTGGTGGTCTCTCTAACTATGTAAGTCTTCTGGCTTATTTTGATTTTATTGACGTCACTTTCTGGGCTTCTCATGGTTCACTTATTGCTCCTGGGCCCAGAGTCTTTTTTTAGGTAAATAGCCCAGTTAAGGATATGTTGGTACTGCTTGCTAATGTGCTTAAATTGTAATTCTAATGATTGTTACTTATATTCACTGCCTCTATCATGCCTTGGAATTTTTATAGGAATGAGGTTACACATTTAAAAACTATTTAGACATATTTTTGGTTATTTGGGAAGCCAGTTATTTCTAATTCAAACAGTTACCAGTTAATAACGTATGAAATGTTCCAAAAATAACCAGTTGTGGGTTGTCAACAAATGTATGCTCTTTTAGTACATTTGCATAAAATTGGTTTTTGGTTTGGCCCTGCTAAAGAAATAATTATTTCATTTGATTCAAGTCTCTTACACTTTCTAGATTTCTGGTATATCCTCCCTAATCAAATCAACATAGCATCTTCCTATGCTAACTTTTCTAGGTATATTAAAAGGCAAAGTCATCAGTGTCATTATTTTAATTCCTTAAATGATTTCAATTTACTGATAAACCCAAAGAGCAGCAAGAATTAACAGAATTACAGCAAAAGAATCACACAAATAACCACTGAAAAAATTCTCATATTACTGTAAGGATTAGGAAAATTATATTAAAGATTTTCTTTTTTTTTTTTAAGGCAGAGAAAAGTACGTTTAAACATTAGTAAGAAATGGGATTTGCCCAGGCACTGGTGGCTTATGCCAAATACTTTGTGAGATTCCCATCTCCAAAATAACCACAGCAAAATGGATTGGAGTTGTGGCTCAAGCAGTAGAGTGCCTGCTTTGCAAGTGGGAAGCCCTGAATTCA